ATATTGTGAAATTTGATACACTTTTTAGCCACAGACCTTCTGTGGCTAAATAGTGTACTGAAATCTGGTATACTTTTTAGCCACAGACCTCCGTGGCTCAAAATATTGTGAAATTTGATACACTTTTAACCACAGACCTTCTGTGGCTAAATAGTGTACTGAAATCTGGTATACTTTTTAGCCACAGACCTCCGTGGCTAAAAGTATTGTGAAATTTGATACACATTTTAGCCACAGACCTCTGTGGCTAAAAAGTATACTGAAATCTGGTATACTTTTTTCCCACAGACTTCCGTGGCTAAACGTATAGTGAAATTTGATAAATTTTTTCCACAAACCTCTGTGGCTAAATAGTGTGCTGAAATCTGGTATACTTTTTAGCCACAGACCTCCGTGGCTAAAAGTATTGTGAAATATAGTATACTTTTTTCCCACAGACCTCCGTGGCTAAAAGTATAGTGAAATTTGATAATTTTTTCCACAGACCTCTATGGCTAATTAGCCGAAATCTGGCATACTTTTTAGCCAGAGACGTCCGTGGCTTAAACCATGGATAATAAAATAAATATTTATTTATTTTATTATCCATGCTAAAACGTATAGTGTAATTTGATATACTTTTAGCCTCAGATACCGCGGCTAAAAGTATAGTGAAATTTGATATACTATTTTATAGGTGGGGTTTAGCCATAGACCGCCATGGTCTGGCCGTGGCCACAAACTGTGGTTAAAGGAAAATTCACAAAGGAAATTATCATTTTTGTGTGGAAACACGAAGCAAAAAATATTTTCAAGATGGCGATGTTGGCTGAAGCGAGGTCAAGACAAAAATGGAGTGAAGATCCGCGAAATACGAAGTGGAGTAGCGGTAATGTTTATTGGTTTAATACAGTAATTTATGTTGAATAATGTCGGTATTTACTTGGCGACGGAGGAGTGGTGATAACTTTTCTATACTATATTTTAAGATACCACGTGTCACTAGACAGTCTAGACTAGACTAGTATAGTCTATATGAAGCTCTCAAAGCGTTTCTACATTTTTTTTAGAAAACATGGTTTTGGTGCTTGTATTGCGAGCAGACTGTATTTGAAGCTTTGAATGAATGTTAAAATTTACATCTGGTTAACTGTATTTAATATGGAACAGCCTAGATTGCGAATTCCATAGTGTATTTCCACAACGAATATTTCAAATGGTTGTGTAATACACACTCATAAGGGGGTCTGAATGGGGGGTTGTGCATGTCAGTTGTCAGTTAAAATTTAGCTTGTTTGTCAGCTATCAGTTAATATTTTGGCGTGTCAGTTAAACACAGTTAATAATTAACTTGCCAAATTCTGTTTGGGTAATTAGTCGTTTTTCTGACTTTCACGAATTTTATGTGTTTTATGGCGATTAATTCGATCTTTTATTCAGATTTCTAATTTGCTCCTGATCAAAGAGTCACCGAAGTATAGAAAAAAGTCCAATCAAACTTCAATTGTCAGTTAACAGTAAAGTTTTACTTGTCAGTAAACAGTTAAAAAAATCGTTATTTGTCAGTTAACAGTTATGTTTAAGGCCGTTTGTCAGTTGTCAGTTAACCCCATTCAGACCCTCTCATAAGGCCGAAAATTACAAAACAACAAATTTCTAAAATTTAACCCATTGAGCTCTGGTGAGAGCCTGTTGACAAGTAAATTGTCTGGTGTTGAACAGAGTTAAATGGGTCGTTCCAGAAAAGATCCATAATCCCCCCACAGAGGAAATTTTTGCCGTCCGGAGGGGGAGGGGAGAAAAAATTGTTTCTGATAATAGTAAATGTATTAGGACATCCAAAGGGGGTAGGGGGGTTAACTTCCTATTTCCTCTGTTGGGGTGGTATGGATGTTTTCTGGAATGACCCAATATCGAATTATGCCACATTTGGACATATTGCAGCTTAATGGGTTAAGCTGCTGCAATAATGGGTTATATGTAACCTGCGATCAGGCCTATAAATAAATAAATACGCCTGATACAAATCTTAACAAAAGTCCATGTTTTTTACAACCGTATTTCGGTTCATTATCAGGTTAATTGTAAGTATACAGAAAACATCACAAGTGCATGTTTCAAGGTCTCTATTCAATCTTAACGCTTGTTGCTAAATTATTTCCAGACAAGGAGCGTTATGGATACCAAATGTTGGAGAAGATGGGTTGGGCTGATGGAAAAGGATTGGGAAAACACAAAAGTGGAAGCACGTCTCATGTGAAGATCAAGAAACGCAAACAAAACCTCGGTATATATACAAAATGGGTCATTTCACAAAACATCCACATCTCCCCCATAGAAGAAATTGAAAGTTAAACCCTCCTCCACCCCGCCCAAGGATGAATCTGGCCTGATTTGAGTGGAGGTTTTGAGTGGAGGTTTTCCAGGGTTGGGTGCATTACTACGGGGGTCCGGGGGCATTCTCCCCCAGAAAGTCTTGTCACCATAGTTCTTGTATCTCGGGCAAAAATAAAAAGAAAGTGCTACATTTTACTGTATGGTAACCCACATTATAGATTTCTGATTCATGTTTTTTCCAAAAGGTTTGGGTGCGAAGGAAAGTCATGACAATGACTGGATTGCCCAACAAGCAGATTTTAATAATCTGTTATCAGCGCTACAAGAACATAGTGGGAATGCAGGTTAATTAACTTAATGTAATTTTACAGTAATTCTAAATAAAATTAGTTTAGTTTAGGTTTCCTCCTGTAGTAACACTGCATCAATAAGAGATGATCCTTACGAGAACAAACAGAACTGATAGAACTATCCAGTATAAATAAAGTTAGTTTAGTTCTGGTTTCCTCCTGTAGTAACACTGGATCAATAAGAGATGATCCTTACTGGACCTCTAGGAAGAACAGTTTAGAACTGATAGAGCTATCCAGTATAAATAAAGTTAGTTTAGTTCTGGTTTCCTCCTGTAGTAACACTGGATCAATAAGAGATGATCCTTACTGGACCTCTAGGAAGAACAGTTTAGAACTGATAGAGCTATCCAGTATAAATAAAGTCAGCTTACATAAAGTTTTCTTTGTGGTTAAAGAATTACGAAGTGAAGAACAAAACAAAAAAGCGATGCTTGAGGTTGCAAAGGCATCTCGGAAACGCGTATTGTAAGTAGAATTTAGTTCCAACAAATTTTGTCATATTGAGTTTTTGGACACTCTCTGGTTTAAAATATTTAGTAATTTCTCAAGCTTTCGACTGCCAGACAGCAGTCTTCGTTGGCTTGTGAAATTAATAAATATTTCAAACGAGAAATCATCCGAAAACTCGATATGAATAGTCCTGGTTTCACCTCAAACATTTTAAAATTTTGTTGTCTTGGATTGTTTGCAAAGTATACCTCAAACACAGGGACATGAACTCACATACTGTATTTATTTAGCTACAAGAGGTTTATAAGAAGCAAGGATACTTCACAATATTCTCAAAAGGACATGGCTTGTATTTTTGGTAACGTGCCAAGTCAATCGGCACCCACCACACCATTAGATCAGTCAGAGTCAGACGTAAGTTATGTTTTTATACAGTATAGTCAGTGTTCTTTACAGACGAGCTACCGATTACGGCAATCAGAATTTTGTGGAATATTATGAAATTGATGTATGCATGATTTAGGACTTGGAAACACCAAATCTAATTTGCCAGCACAATGCATTATGTATTTTTAATTTTGAAAAACAAATAAAGTTATTCACAGCACAGATTTTAATTTGCTTGTTGAAATAATCTAATGATGAGCAAACAGCACATTATGGCATACATGGCCGATAACAATTCTCGGTGAATTAACGCCAATACCGAGGAATTATCGGCAATACCGAATAATCACTTCATCTGTATTTTAGGATGAAGTTGCGTCCGAGGACAGCACGGCCTCCTGTCCCACAATTCCGTGCGACTCAACTTCCGGGTTTGTTACATACACAAGCAAACAAAGTATTCAGGAATATTTTGCTTGCCGTATGAAGGAACTTCAGAATGGTAAAGGGATTGAGAGGAGTAATGAGGGTGACAAGGGGGTAAATGGTGGGGAAAGAAAGGTGGCAAGTGGTGAAGTGAATGAGAAATGGACAAAGAAGGGTAGAAAGAAATCGAAACGAAGTAATGAGGAAGGAATTTGGGAATTGGAAAATGAGAAGAAATTAAATGATAAAGAGGTTCTATCTAAAAGCAGTAAAGTCCAGACAAAGAAGAGTAAAAAACGAAGAACAAAGGACGATTCTGAAACAATTGCAAATGGAATGGAACGTGTAAGTGAAGAAATTGAAAAGTGTGATGAAGACGTTTCCCGTGAGGGAGGTAAAGTCAAGACAAAGAAATGTAAAAAACGAAGAACAAAGGATGATTCTGAAACAATTGCAAATGGAATGGAAAGTATAAGTGAAGAAATTGAAAAGTGTGATGAAGACGTTTCCCGTGAGAGAGATAAAGTCAAGACAAAGAAATGTAAAAAACGAAGAACAAAGGATGATTCTGAAACAATTGCAAATGGAATGGAAAGTATAAGTGAAGAAATTGAAAAGTGTGATGAAGACGTTTCCCGTGAGAGAGATAAAGTCAAGACAAAGAAATGTAAAAAACGAAGAACAAAGGATGATTCTGAAACAATTGCAAATGGAATGGAAAGTATAAGTGAAGAAATTGAAAAGTGTGATGAAGACGTTTCCCGTGAGAGAGATAAAGTCAAGACAAAGAAATGTAAAAAACGAAGAACAAAGGATGATTCTGAAACAATTGCAAATGGAATGGAAAGTATAAGTGAAGAAATTGAAAAGTGTGATGAAGACGTTTCCCGTGAGAGAGATAAAGTCAAGACAAAGAAATGTAAAAAACGAAGAACAAAGGATGATTCTGAAACAATTGCAAATGGAATGGAAAGTATAAGTGAAGAAATTGAAAAGTGTGATGAAGACGTTTCCCGTGAGAGAGATAAAGTCAAGACAAAGAAATGTAAAAAACGAAGAACAAAGGA